AGGCCTAGGCAGGGCTTATCTGTAGCTCTAGTTTGGACAAGTATAGAGGCATAATTTCTCCTGCCGAACTGGTCGTTAAATGATGCATAAAGTGGGACCTTCCTAGTAATGTCCAGGTCGGTTTCATGGATTTCCAAGTAATCAGAATCTTTGTCGGGATTCATCATTTTTAAAATATCTTCTCTAACTCCCACCTTTCAAAACTCATCACTGTTTTCATAATAATCAATTTTGTTCCATTCCGCATATTTACGCCACACCAAACTTTTTCACGCTCTCTCTAAACTTCTAATTCAACACCGAATATTAATAGTTTGGTCTTGCATTCTAAATCTAAAGCTGAAATTTATTAATATATTCTTATTCCCACTTGTTTGAATTTCTTTGTTTCTGGAGGGCTCTGTTTCCCGAATATAATTCTACCCAATTTAATTAATTTCTCTCTAATCATTTTTTGTGTGTCAATTTCAACGCCCAATGTTCACCAATAACAATAATAATTTTGTAACACTCGCCCTAAGCATGCAACCGAATCCAAGATTGAGATCTTTCACATAAAGTAGAACCAGTTTAGTTTATTTTTATAATATTAAGTAAAAGTGTCCTTTGCCACGAGTAATATATGTTATTTAATACAATCCCACCATTATCTTGTCTGGAGATCGCGATTTACCATATATAAAAGATGGTTTGTGTACATAAAAATTATTACTTTATGCCAAAACTCCCCTATGCGCATGCCACAAGATAAAGTTAAAGTAGCAAGCTTTTAGGGAAACCAACAGGGCTAAATATTTATTTATATTCACATAGTGTAACAAAACCCAAATATTTCATCCGTAATACTTGCTTTGATTTTGGTAGGAAAGGGACTAAAGTTTTGTGTTGGTTATGACACGAATATTGGAGATTGAAAATAAGTCTGTAAAACGGTGGTGCTTGGTGGAATCTTCAAGCGCATATCATCTCATTTCTAAAGTTTTGGACGGTTGTAATTCATTTAGCATTTTTAATTAGTTCTACTGAAAATAGCATATGGAATTTTTGAAATGATTTACATTTGAAACCTAACGAGAACATTTTTGGAGGGGGAATAGGTTGAAAATGTTCTCTTCTTCCGTTGACAATTTTGAGATAATAGTGCTCTTAAACCCTAGACTTTCATTGCTATGTATTCTCTCAGCCATGGCTTTTTGGTGCTTTTCATTTCAGCCATTGGTAGAGGTAACTTGTCAATTTTGATGGTGAGAATATAACTTTATTTTGACATATTAAAGTCTGAATATCAAATAAACCTTTATAAAAYAATGATTTAATTTAATCAGTGGGCTCAAAACACATACTTACCTCACACTTTCAATTGTGTTGGATTCTTCTCTCTGAATATATTGTTTCATATTCTAAWAGAATTAATCAAAAGGCTGCACAAATCAGACAAATGATAAGATGTTCTTCACTTCCATTATAAACGCAATAACAAAAACCTCGATTGTTCATTACTTTTTCTTGCAAATATTCAAATTTGAAAACAATAAACTCCCAATTATTGTACTTTGGGTTGAGCAAAACGTTCTAATCCCTAGACTTATATATATATTTTTTTAACATTTAACATCAATTGATAGAACAATGATTTCGATACTCTATTAAATAAGATTTGGASGAGATAGTATAATTCAAGTCCTACTCAATTACAAATTTGAAGAACTATAGATCAACAATTACACTTTTTAACTTTTTATTCACCCACGCCCCCAAATCTAACTATCAACCTCAAATCTAATTCAACCAATGATAAATATTAGAGTTCCAATACATGACCTCTTTACCATGATATCATTTTAAATATGTTAAATGGTCGATAAACTCAAAAACTTAAGCGGATGAATTATGATAAATTTAATCATTTATAGGATATTTAGCTCATTCTTTGATTGTGTTAACCTCATCTAATTTTAATCTATTGGAATGTTGTTCCCAACAAAAGGATAGATAGAGTAATTAAAGAAGAAGCATGATCCAAAGTGAAGAAATGTAATTGGATATTTTTAAATTTGAAGGAACAAAATTTCCAAGAAAATATGTAGGTAAGTAAAATTGTGACGTTGACTAAATTTGAATGTGCGCATGCGAAGTTGAAAATTGTGCCGAAACCTTAACAATGGCTCCCATGCCCTTCCTTATCCATAAAATCATCTCAATAATTTGGATATTTAGTTTCTAAAATAGAAAGTGGCGTGGCCATTCCCTTGCCTTGCTTTGTTGCAGCTGACTAAAGAGACCAAAACAACACACACCGCACAGTCTTAAACTTCACAGAAAAAAAACAAAACAAAACCCACACAGATGGCTAATCTCCAATTAAAACCCACTTTGAATCTGTAATCTTTCGGGKTCAGAGATGTGATCCCCTTAAGAATGGGTAAAGTAAAAGGTCAAAAAAGCAATAGGCTTGGGTTAGTTACTAGAAAAGCCCACACATTTTTTTCTTTTTCTTGTAATAATTTGGGCATGTTGGTAAACTCAAGTCCTTCCGTAATCAGCACAGTAAACTGTAAAGTCTATCCTTATGCTTGATGTTGATGTTGATGCTGATTGCTGTCCCTTTTTCGGGTCTGCTTCATGGGAGCTTTGAATATGTTTTGGGCTTAGTTTCTTCGACTTGTTGGGTTTGGCCCATCATTTCCTTATGGGCCCAATTATGATTAAACTGTTCACATTGCGGCCTCTTACCCGTCCTGGAAATGATTTTCAGCTCGACATTATATCAAACTTATGACAACATAAATCCTAGATCTCATTAATATTTATTATAAAGTCAACTGAACACCATCCCTTAGAAAGTTACGTACTATTTATGATTAATATACATCATAGTCTCTAACTTTTTAGTTGCTTCTGAATTTCATCCTTAGTCTTTTAGAATTTTCAACTTTACTATTAATATACTAAAAATTCTAGATTGGGTATTTCTGTAAAATGTTCTTAAAAAATTAACATACTGTATGTGAACACGATACAAGTTGATTAGCCCTCCCAAAATTTGGAGTTGGGTGGGAAAATGGTAAGATTTTAAAACTTTTGGTATTTATTCTAAAATACATGTAACAAGTTAGAACAAAGTTGCATGAACCGCGAGGTGAGAGATGAAGTAGAAGTTGCAAAAGTTTGTAGATTCAATCTATTCGAACCATGAGATACACATTCTAAGAGGTTACTATTTCTAATAAATAGACAATAAAACAACCATTATTATTTTTCTTTATTTTTCTCTTGTGAATGTGAACGCGAATGCTAACTTAAACTTAACTTAATTGATTAATACGTGTATCTTCAATTTAAAGTTCGTTAGTTCGAAGCCCCACTCCATAGTATTAGAGAATCTAACTCAAAATTTTCATTGGCCTACATCAACTCATATTAAGATTTGAGAGTTTAGAAATTAAATGATTAGAAGTAAAAGAGAGATAAAACTCAAAGAAAAATATGTGTCCATGTGCAGGGATTTGGTTGATGGGGAATCTTCACATTGGCCTACAAACTTCTACTTCCTTTATATATAGCGATAGGAAATTAGATGCTTGGCTTAGCTTAGCTTTAATTTGGAGTTTGAAGTTTGAAGTTGGAAAGCAATCACAAATGCCACATCAGTTCAACCTGTAAAGTAGGATGCCCCCAACTCCAACTCCAACTCCAACTTGGATTTAGAATTTTAATTCCCCCTTTCTCTGTAACCCATCAATAATTATCTTTACAATCCAAGTTTCACACTGCTTTGCTTTGCTTTACTTTTAATTCCGGAATATGATCAAATTTTGAGATATTATTCACAACAGATCCATTTCAAAAGGAATGGCCACGATACACTCTTTTCTTACTAACCTTTTTGTTTCACCCATCAGAGGATTCTCCAGATTAATATCGTTGTTTTCTTTCTTGTTTCTTTAGTAATCAGTGTCTCGGGAGCCCACTGATTTTATTTCCTTCCCTTTCTCTCTTTCTTTCTTTCTTCCTTTCAGTATTGGACTTGTCTTTTTGTTTGGGACTCTCAAATTTGTCTTTGGCGTCACCTGAGGAATAAGAATATTTCGTTTTCATTTCAAACATAATGGATGCATCCAAATCCAACTGGACTGCCTCCCACCCCATAATAAATTCCCTTATCTCATATTTAATCACTCCCTAATTATGCCTTACAATAATTTTACTCTCTCATTTTCAAATTATAACTTCATCCACCCTTCAACTTACTAACTTGTATCATATACATATCAGTTCAAAAACCTGTTCAAGACTTAAATTCCTTCCACTCAAATTTAACTCTTTCGCTTAGTATTATAAAACTCTTCCAACTTCCTTTCAGTATAGATTTTATGAAACTATCATTCAACGCTATCTGGAATATAATTGATTCAAGTCTCTAAATATTATTTTCACATCAAAACATAAGATGTTTAACTACTCTTTTTAAAATGGGTGTAGCAAAAATATTTATCAAGCAGCAATTTTTTTTTTATTTTGTAAAAGTGTTAAAAAATTTTAAAATCATATTGTTTTTTTTTTCTTTATTTCTTATTTCACATTCGTTATTTCTAAAAATCGATATACTTTATATCATTATAAATCTTCTTTTTGTATAGTAACTAATATTTTAAATGTGAACCTATATCAATAATATAATTTATATATTTGATAGTTATCAAGTTAGTATTTCTCTCATTTTTAGAAAACCGCCCATTTTAAGGTAGAGTCGACTCTTTTTTTTGGCTATATTTACAAATAAAAAAGAATGGTTGCTATATTTGCAAATGGACTACTTCTAATGTTACTTAAAACTCCTGTTTTCCAATTTGACAATCTTCTGCTCGTACTGCATGTAAATACTAAACATTGAAACGTTCCAAGAATGAGTTTCTGAATTGTTAAACACTCCAAATCACTCTTCAAAACAAGAAAATTACGAACAGAAACAAAAAACACCATCTCTGAACCAAATCATATCTGGAAAGAGACTACAAGACACATATAGTATTAAAACACAAAGTACTTAATTACATTAACTTACAAAAAGTACTCCAAAACATTTAAGTAAAAGAAGGAAAAAAAGACCCATAACCAAAATGGCCATGCAAAGGAAGAAAAAAGAACCTGCAGACCACGATGGAAGACACCCATTACAGACAACAAAACTGCATAATCCCTTAAAGACTCTTTCACTACACAAGACCTCTGCAAATGCCTAAAATTCCATTGCAGAATCTTGCAACAACTGGACACAATTCAAAACACAAATTACATACTAATTAACACTCCGATTCAGCCAGCTGACTCAGAGCTGCCCAATCTATTTCAACCGAAGGATACTTTTCCAATCCAAAGGCTTCTCCTTCACCCCACTGATAATCTGAGAAATCCAAGAAGCTAATACTCGACTCAGGGGATGATCCCGTGGAGTAATCTTCAGACCGTGAAGGAGACGACGATGAGGATGAAGAGGATGGAGAAGTCTCCACTTCGGTTTTCAATTCCAATTCAGGTGGAGTCGTCAGTTTTTCATCGGCCACGGAACAGAGCTGCTCTGTTTTCCCCTGTTTCAAGCTCTGACAAATTGCTTGAAGCTTGGCGTCTACAGAAGGGTGAAGGGGTTTGAAGTCTCCGAATTGGTGCTTGAGATGTGGGAAATTGAGCCTGGCAAAATCTCCACGGAGCTTGTAAGCAGCTTTATCATAGGCTAAAGCTGCCTCCTCCGCCGTGTCGAAAGTGCCGAGCCAGAGTCTGGTGCGGTTCTTGGGGAGTCTGATTTCGGCCACCCATTTTCCCCAGTGGCGCTGCCGGACTCCTCTGTAGAGCTTGGTGGGCTTGGGCGGAGAGCCCACGTGCTTCATGGGGATGGATTTTGGGGCAAGGAAGTTATGGTATTGGGAAGAAATCTGAGCGGCAGAGAAGGAAGGCATGCTTTGTGGGGGTATTTGGATTTGAGCTTGAATTTGGAGAATCTGAGAAGRAGTGAGATTGTTTAGCCCGATTGGACCTGATTGCTCAAGACCCATTTGTTCAATACTCGAGAACCCTTGAGAAAACAAGCGGGTGCTCGACGGGGAGCAAAAATCAGGGCTCAATTCAGGCTGAGAAGAAGCTGGAGAATAAGCAGAAGAAGAAGAAGAAGAAGAAGAGGTTGAGATAACACTTTTCATAAAAGGTTGAAGCGCTTTCATTAATTCTTCACTAAACGGATCGGAAGAGTAACCCGGCGTCGAAATTCCACTGTAAACATCTATAGCTGCTGCCATGTCTCGTCAACAAACGTAAGATTTATACCAAAACCAATAAAAAGATCGCAAAACAAGAAAATTGTACTGAGAAAACAAGTTTCTTTCCACGAATAAGAAACTTCAGTAACCAACCAGAGGGACTGAAAAAACACCCTCGAAGTCGATCCAAAAAAAAAAAGGGAAGAAAACTGAAAATATTTACCAAGGAAAAAGAGAAATCTTGATCTCTATTCTGAATCACCGACTTCCAAGAACCAGTCTTCCGGGTCTATGCCACAAAATGTAAGATTAAATCCAAAGAAGAAACAGAAAAAACCCAAAATCTTAATCGTTTGAAAGACAGAGGATGACAGAAAGGGAACTGAGGAAACGGGGAGAAATCAGAAGGGGGGGAATGGGAGCGTARTTGAACAAAAGATGAGAATAATTGCAGAAAATAGAAAAAAGAGGAGAAATTTGTTTCCCCTCTTTGGATCGCTGTTGTGCGCAATTCCAAGTTCGGCTTGCACATTCTCGTGGGCTGCTGTGTGTTTATATAACCCCAAATCGTGGCCGTTTCTCTCTCATAGAGCCACCATTTTCCTCTCTCCAACCACATTTTCGTCCAGTAAAGTAATTCTCCATTTTGTCGTCAACTTCAAGATAACATGATTCGAGTGGGCTCCCCAATGAACTACTGCCACGTGGCATACACTTGGCTATGGCCCACTTGGGAAATTTCAGTTAATTGTATTTTGCCGATGCACAGTTCTATGCACCTCGCACGCGCAGCCACGTCATTTTCTTATTCCTTATCCTATCGCATCAATTTCTCATCGTCTCATTCGATTAAATTTACGTCAATAATGTGAATCGCATATTAAATTTTACATTGCATATTGTAATTGATGGAGAATGATGCTCTCCTACATATTAAATTAAACAATTACATATTGTTTTTATCCATACCAAGTTACCAGCCCAACTTAGTTTACGCGTAACACTATTCATTATTATCATTAAAGTAATTGAAGTTGAGTTCCATTATGCAGATCAGCTATTATTTTTAAATGTAAAATTTAAATTCTATGTATATCGTGTCTCCTACGTAAATTTTAAATAATCAAATATTAATAAATTCTTGAGTAAAAAAAATGTAGGAATTTGACAATAATTAAATCTTAACTAGTATTATTTTTAAAGTAGAATTAGTCAGTTTTAATTCTATCRAGTTGAATTCTAAATTACTAACTATGTTATATAAGATATACATGTTTAAAAAATTGTGGTTAAATAAATCAATCAAAATTCAACTACGATTTACAGTAGAAATAAGATGTTTTCTAATATAACATTATAAATGTAGTGTGAAAATTATATATTATTATGTGCTTTTAGGTGAATAATTATAGAAGTATAGATATAACGRTTGAGGGTGAGAGGTGAACAAGAAATGTGTGAGGCTCGAATAGCAACATATGACAGTGAGAACCAAACCAAACCTAGAGCAATGCTAGTTTTTGAAAAAATGCAAGATGAATGCAGCACATCCTGCTGATATAGCAGGTTAGTGTGGCAAGCAACAGAGTGTTACCATGTGCCAAGAATGTCCCTTAATGACCAGTTAGAGCTCGTACGTAAGTGGACCCTACCACACCGCATGTACGGCGTCCTCCCTGATTGGCTCCAACACCTATAAAAGGAATGGAATACCACAACTACTACAAGGTAAATGAAAATATACTAAGAAACYTATCGTATGTGATTACTAACTCGATCGTCGAAGAATATTAGGCGAGACACCGCACAACATTCRTTGTTGCGAGCTCATTTATTCAACGATCAGTCTTTCGAAAGACACGTGAATCTCTCTGATTTTCGACATCAACGATAACTATCAATATTTGAAATAAGAGTGAATATTTTATCCATARTTCAAGAGGTATGCTGGAATTGAAAAAAATTAATAATAAAAATTTGTGACTAGCACTCAACAATATTAAAATTGAGAATAAACGGAAAATGGATTGAAAAATATTTATTGGCGGAAGGTTGGGGATGTGGGCAGTAAGGACAAATGCGAAAAGGACAGGAATGGTCAATTGCGGCGCGGCAGAGAGAGAAGTTGAATTGGGGGATGTTTTCTTTTTTTATTTATTTGGAATCTGAATTCAGCCTCAAAATGGAGAGAGAGAGAGAGAGAGAGAGAGAGAGAGAGAGAGAGAGAGAGAGGAAAAGGCAGTCCTGCCTGATCCTGAAGGGCCATTTTAGCCTTTCTTGCGCAAATCAATGAGCTTTCCAATTCAAAAATCAAATTCCCAAACCTTTACTTTTTATTTCTGTTAAATAGAAAGTGAAACAGTGAAAGTGAAGGCTGGTTGGTTTTTGCATCTAGCTGAAGATGATGCTACTGATATGATAGGGCTGATTTTACCCTTCAAACTTCTCAACAAAATTCTCCCCATCCCATCCATATAACACACACCTCCAATTTCCATTACATTTTAAAATAAATAAATAATTAGATTCCCACAAATTCAACATTTCTTTTCAATTAAAATATACAAAATTTCACTTTATTTAAAAAGTATAATTTAACCATATAATAATACCTTTTTTTTTCTTACAGAAAGTATCATTTTTTTTCTTTGAATTTGGTTTATTTTTTATTTTATTTTATTTTWTTTTTTTGAAAAACCTTTGAATTTGGTTTATTGTATCTATTTTTATCCTAAAACATTTAATTTCATCAAATTATACCTTAAGCTTGATTAGTGTTGTAACCTTCATCTCAATCTTTAAATATTGTGATAATTTTTACCATCTGGTAAATTTTTCCAGTTTGGTAAATCTGTTAAAAAAAGAGTATTATTGTATTTGTTCAATAACTTATAAAACATATATGGCTAGTTTTGGCACAATTATTTAACCATCAATTTTGTGCATTAATCAAATTTAATTTTTCATAAAGTAGACTTTTCATTTAATTGGTGATTTAAAAAAAATAGTGGGTGAATTAGCAAAAATTAAATAGATGATAAAAATCACAATACTCATATAAGTTTAAGGTCCTTGCAAGTTTAAAATGAAAATTGTTACATGTTGGAATGAAAAATCAATGTTTTTCTTATTTTAATATATTTTTATATAAGATTAATATTTATTTATGGTATTATAACTTATTTTGAAAATAAACTGGAGGATTTTACAAGATTTATTTAAGCGATRGATACAGAAAAGTAAAACTTTCCAACAACATATTTGATGGATAAGTACATCAACTCGAACTTGGAAAGATCAATCTCATCCTCTTYCCAAAGGTTTTTTCCACAAGCCAATTTGTAGAAGAGGCAATTTCCAAATCAAGAGTCAACTTGGCTGTTGGAGCTTTTTTTTTACCTATTATTATTTTTAAATCAATAGGGAAATGACAGGAAACTTCCTCCTCTCTCGCATTCCATACATTTAAAATCAAAATGTGACAACTCACTGATATTGATTTCATTTGTTATTATATGAATCATTTTTGAAAAAAGGTAAGAATGGAGATCTAAGTTTTATATATAATAATTGAACTGCCCTATAAAATAAACTCTCAGTTCCTTCTCAAAATTGAAGTAAAAACTACGTCACAAACAATCAAAATTATCAAATTTGTTAGCGAAACAACATTGTCATTTAAAAGGATAAAATCTAAACAAACGGTCATCATTCAAACCAAAAAAAAACAAAAACATAATTCATCCCACCAAACGCATTAAATAATTTTGGAGTCACTTCTAAAAGATTCAAGTTGTGGTTTGAAATGATTCATGCAATGGATTTTATTAAGAAAAAAAAAAATTTGTTCACATTAAAAAAACTAAAATATTACTAACTGAACAATGCACATGGTCCCATCAGGTGTTATACAAATAACTGGATTTCCTGAAGGAAAAGGTAATTAAAGAGGAAACGACAAAGCAAACCTTAAAAAACTAGAAAAACTTTGAAATAGTAAAAAATGTTACCATTAGGATTGAGTCAAATTCAACAAATTTAAAATAAAAATAAAACAAAAAAGCTAATGACCAAAAACCTATGGCCAATTAGAACTCGCACCGGACCGCACTAAGCTTATTGAGAGCAATTAAAATATTAACATTATGGACAATGGTTTTATTAAAGAAATTGTGGAGTTGGAGAAGAGAATGGAGGATAATATTAAAAATTTCTAAGTTGACTTTGGGAAAATGGTCAACTCATTTATCGGCAAAAACAAAGGAAATCAACCACTATGGGACGATAAGAATGAATGTGGAGCACATGTAAGAACAAATGCAAATGCCAGCTTACTCAACATTTATCTTTTATTTGCTAATAAAAAGTAATTATATAAACAACTTGTTTTTGTGAGTGGATGAAGAAGTAGAACTTACATGTTTTAGTGACTTCATAATGTCTATCCATTAATCGCCTAGTGAAAATGCTCAACTGAATATAACTTTATTGTAATGTAATTGCCTATATACATTACAATAACATTATTAATTATTAGATAACATTATTAATTTCTAAATATTTTCATAACAAATTTGATATAACTTTTTTTTTTAGAAAAGATAAAATTTCATAACAAATTTGATACAACTTAATTCAACTTAAACCACTTTTAAGACCTAATAAACCTATATAACCTAAGTTCAATTTGTTTGAACCAATCCAAGCAAACTAATAAGTTATTTGAAACACCCCTCTTACCTAAAACGCAGACTCAATTTCCCCACGTCAATCCCAATAGCCATCTATCTTACAAGAACAAGTTCAAACAAATTACCTGTCATTTTTAATAAACTAATGTCGATAAGGAATTGTTTAGCAGATGCACCAAATATCTCTAATTCAAGGCTGTCGTGTATCCTGTAAATATAATGAATACATAAATAAAGGGTCATTGACAAATATTACTTAATGTCGTAATAACATAACAATATCTGAATAACTTGCCATGATTTACCAAGTTAAATGATATGATAAACATCAATCGATTCCAGTAGAGCTTTTTTTTGTGAAAAGGCTAGTCCCATCAATTCATAATGAGAACATATTCATTAAATTTTGAAATGTTCAACCCAAAAATATCTATCATATCACCTAATCCCATCAGATTTTATAAGCTAGTTAACTGCCTGATATCATTCAAAGTAGTTAAAAATATACAGGAAAGCCGCGTCGCAAGGATGAAGATAGAATGTTATTCAGAAATAGAATGGATGATTTTACATGTACTACAAATTTATAATACAGCTACCCTTATCCAGACCAGAAGGAGAAGTTCCAAAGCACAAATATGGACAGCATAAGTGACCAACCACACGGCCCACAACCACAAAGAATGGCAGAAAAAAGATACCACGCTAATGCTTCTCCATAGGCATGCCATTAAGCATCTCCAAGTTCATCTTGCATTCCTCCCTCAAATCTTTCAGGGTAACAAAACTGGTTTGCTGTTGAGCAAAGAAACAAGATTCACCACAGCTAAATCTTTCGAAGATTCAAATAAATGGATGTGGAGAAGTAGATATTCAGGAACATAAAAGAATGTGCTTCAAGCCTAATCTAGTGGATCCATCCATGCCAACAATACCAGTAAATTGTAATTACTATTTGATTAAGCTCTTTTAGACTTATGTCACAGTCCCCTTCTTCCCTAAATTGGTCATTTCAATGGAAGTATAATATAATTTCATTTCTTCATAAAAAGGTTACTTGAAAAGATCACCATTCACAGGTACACACACACGCACACACTTCTAACGGGAAAGAGATTTCATAGATGAACAAAAAAATTCACACTTACAAGTTGGCTGCCTTCCTGAGCAAACATATCTTCCATATGACGAAACAGTGAAATCCACTGACCACAGAGATCAAATTCTAGCTTTGATTTGGAAGAAATTCCTTGATCATGACAAGTCTCTTTCTCTTTGCTACTTTTCTGAGCCAAGATGCTTGCATCTTTCTGGCTTTTCTTGAGTGCTAAAGGAACGAAAATACCATGATTATCAAAAAGAGGGAATAACTCAAGAAGAATGGCTTTGTTACTATACAAGGAAGAAAAGCTTACTCGAAATTCTTCCTTTAATGTCCTGGTAATGGAGGTCTGACCAAATGTATGATGCTGATTACAAACGTATACCAATTTAGTTTTGGTGAACATGAATATTCAAGAACTGCCAAATAACTAAGGAACTGACATTCTAATTACCTTTCAAGCAGAATGAACAAGAACATGTTTTAAGCAAGTCGCCATACATGTCTTGATTAGCACAATTATCAGTCTTCAGTCCTGAGCACCTTTGCAGTGCCAGACACTTGGAACCCTCTGATATAGGTAACCTAGACCACTCAGTGGAACCATGGTTGCTTGAGCCCAATTTGCAAATACCAATATCCTTTTCGTCATTCCTTAAAACATGATCAATTGCTTCTTCATTGTCCGCATTGATTTGCATAATTCCAGAGCAATCTTTCTTACTGTCCTCAGGACATGTAGGGACTACAGAAGTGGACAAGGAAGGAACTCCCAGTGCTTCACTGTCTGTAACTCTCTGTTTGTCCTCTTGAATAAGACGTACTTCATCATTCAACAAACTACACTGCACAGTTTCTTTAAGTACATAAGACAAAGCAGTATCAGCTTCGCTGGAAGCAGGAGAGCAATCAGATTCCTGCTCCTTATCAAACCTAGGAAGAGCCATTGTAGAACAGACTTCTCCAGATGAACGATTACAATTCTCCTTGACAAATTTCGCTGCTTTTAGACGCTCATGCTTCGGGAATCTGGACTCTTCGTCTTTACCGTCCAAGGTTTTGCTGCAATCATCCCTAGATTTGACCCCGGAATCATTCAAAATTGACGAAATCTTCCGTTTAAGCGGACGATTGGTCAGGTTTCCAAGAACCGTCCGATTGTGGTCTAACACATCCTCAATGTTATCTTCCCGCATTGTCGGACTCAGGCAGGGGGGCTCTAATCTGATCGACTAATCTAAGTTATCCACCTTTCTCGACCACAAATCCCAATTACTCGGATGGAAACAAATCCTAAATCATCTAGTTCAAATCCTACTTGGTACAAAGCGAAATCACAGAAACCCCAATTTCGCAAGATTCTGAAAAAGTAAAAGACGAGCAAGCACAGTGACATAAACAACCCGACACAACGAAAACAAAGTAAAAGAAGAAATCGAAAACCACGAAAGAACTAATTATAAGCGTAAAATAACACAGTAACCCTAGAAAAATTCACATTCGTCGCCGAGACAAGGAAGAAAGCCGCAGGAATGTAAAACTCAGGGAAGCGGAGATTCAGATACTAACCTGGAGAAGAGAAGGTGAAGGAGATTTAATTTCGATTTGGTTAAAGCGTAGAGAGGGAAGAATCCCAAATTAGAAGAATCGAAGAGCGGCTTCTCCTCAGGAAAACGGAGGAAATGATAATGCCTCCCTCTTTATTTTCCCCCTTTAATTTGTGTATATATATAGAGAGAGAGAGAGTGAAGTAAAGAAGAAGCGCGAATCGTGTAAATCGGATGCAGGGCCCGCGTTTCCGATTTAAAATGTTGCCGCATTATTGGTGGCGCGCTTTCCCGGCATCTCTTTAATGCCCTCGCGCTCGCGCTCCCTCCAAACTCTCTCTAACCGGTTCAATTTGTTACAATTTTATCTTTTCTTAATCTTATTACGATAATCGCAAATTCTAACTTTATATCGCGCCCATTTAATTTGCAAATTAAAATTTGTTATTAATTAACAGATCTACACAAACCAATACACAATTACAATGATTTTCAAGAATACATACACACAACTAGCAGATTGTTTAAATCCATGATTATTAACTTTATCATTGTTCTGGAACAAAAAGTAAATATTAGCGAGATTCGATAGAATATAGATGGAGGAGTATGATTCAAGAAGAAAAAAAAAAACAATTAGCCGTGAATGTGCAGCTAAAAGTGCTATATCTTGTTTTGAAATTGTTGGTTGAAAATTAGGGTGTGGTATAGCTTAGCTTACTCTCCCTTTTTTTCATCTAAAAGGAAAAAGAAAATATACAAATTTTTAAAGCTATAAAAGAGTATGGGATTAGAACTCGTAGAAGCTATGCCTTTTTGGTATTACACAATCCTCAAATTGGAGCCTGGGAGCTGCACATGAGTATCCCTTTCTAAACCTGTTGCTTCTGTTTCTCAATTCCACAGCTACAGAAAACATTCCACAAACCGGCCTGTGATCCGAAAACCTCGATTCCCCTCGAACGTAACACAGTTGTTCCATCCCATTCCCCCGCCACAATATTCTATCGCACCTGCAAAAACAATATAGATATATAGTTACTCACCAGTCCAGACTGAAGTATTTTTCATATCTGTGTAGTCCAGTTGATCCGTACCATGCTGGAGTTCGGCGTTTTTTCTTGGATTTGACGGTGTCTCCGGCGTATGAGTCCGAGTTTTGGGAATACTTGTAAGTGGGTGCAAATTGGATCCGTCCTTCGCTGAACCCACAGAAAACTCTCCCTGCTTCTCTCTCTACATTCAACTGCATGCACGCCAATTTTAAAGCCCTTTTAGTTTTAACTAATTAGCTCCTCCATTTTTCACTTTAAATTACCAAAATTCACCACAAACAACAACCCATTTAATTTAGTTGATTTATAACCTGATCCTTGAGTAGGATCCTGTCCCAGTCATTGTCCTCCAGTAAATTCCTCGTATCCTCGTAGCTCAAAGACACCCGGTAATTCAAGTCTCCGAGCCATATTATCCGGCTTCATTTCACAACCAAATTCAAACGATCAGCACCATAAACTTACTCAACAAATTACAAATAGACGGAGAATAATAGTAATTTAATTACTCATGATCCATAATTCTCTCCGGGGCTCGCCGATTGGGCTTCTTGCAAATCTTGGTGAACTGCGTGCTCTTGAGAATCTCGGCTGCATCTGCATTTCTTTTGAGCTCGTCCCCTTCCTTCTCACCGGATGCCAAGTGGCTGCAAACGAAGCAAAAGCTTGTCTCATGCACTGACATGCTAATTGATATGCATCCCTGAAAAATAATAATATAAAAACTTTAATTGGCAATACCCAGGAGAGACGGGAAGAGAATAAGGAAAATAATAAGTTAGTTTCCTCATCGTTAAATATTTGACAGTTCATTATATTTTTAATTTTTTTTTCTAAAACTATCGAGCAGTCAAATATCTAATAACGGTAAAGAGGAAGTTGCTAACAAGGAGAGAAGTATTTTCAAGAGAGGATGATTTGTAATTGTAATGGATATGAAACCTTGTTTCCGAGGCAACCCATTATTCCTCTTCCGACGGTGGAGACTCGGAGATGACCAATATGAGGGACGAGCTCCTTACGAGCCCAAACCGAGAGGAACAAGCCGACCATCTGCTTGCTGGAAATGAGCTTGTACTTCATCATCTCCCCTTCCGCTGATCTTGAGGAAGCCAGCTCCGAAATGGAAATGAACTGATCCATCATGAAGCTGCTTCCATGTGGAGACATTATGGAGTCCATATCGCCCGTGTGGTCGTCGTTCAGCTTCCTCAGCCGTCTCTCCCGCGATCCCAATTCGATGGGGCAGTTGCACGCCTTCAGAAGACTGCAATCCACCGGCCTCAGGTTCCTGCTCAGCATTTTCAGTGATGGCTTTTGGAAGAAAGAAAGCGTCTTTGAATCCTTCGACATTTTATAATCACAACCCCCGAAAATGGACCCCTTCTCCGGCTTGTTTATGGCTTGGCTTATTAGCGCCAGCCATTTCGCTGCGGGTTCGTTGTCTTCCAAAACCAGCACGTTTCCCGCATTCAGAGGAACTATTTCCTGGAACCTATAATTCAATTTATAACGATCTCATTGGTACTGACCACTCTTTTTATTGTCAATAAGAGATGAAATTCAAAATCAAAATCATTTAATTTCCATTTTTTAGTGCTGACCCAATCACATAAATGTCTGCGGAGCCTTCCACTTGTAGGAAATCTTCGAGGTCAATGCCATTGTTGGGAGTTTTGCCTCCCACATTCCAGGTCGCTACGAAAACCCTGCACCCAAACACAGATTTTTATTKGACTCCAGATCAAATTAACAACCAAAGATGGTGCACGCCACGTACCGGAAGTTCTTGATCTCATTTGGAGGTGTCATAGACGATGGCTCGAAGTTGGACAGGTTTAAGCTTTGGATTCCCGCACTTGTCTGTCTTTCTGAAGAAGCCAAGTCCAGTTACAAAATAATCAAAACTAATATTTCCTTTCATTAATTAAACTCTTATCTGTTTGGGATGCAAATTTCTTCACACTAACCAAATAATGATTGCTGTTAGGTAAACTACCAAAATAATAATATAAAAACCAACAAGGCTGATCAAATCTCTGTTAATTCGTGGATACGTGTCCTATGCAAAAACCACACATTACAGACCTGAGAAGCTTTTTCTGATAACGGGGGATGACTCCATGAAAGCTTTTCTTCTTGACGCAATTCCTTTCCCTTTCATGATGACATTAAAACGGGAAAGAACGTATGAATTTAATTAACAAATAATAATAATTGTGATTAATTTTCAGAGGTGATGCCTGAAAGATACCAAGATCAACATCGCTGCCTTCCCCATCTGCTAATTTAAACAATTCCTCGTCCGAATTTAGCCTCTCGGTTCTCTTTGAACTGAAGATCTTTGGAATAACAAACTAACGTCGTCCCATGATGATATGCATTAATGGAAGAAAAACAAGACATCCAATCAAACACATGAAAATTGCAAAAACACAAACAGAAAATTTGAGGAAGAAGAAAAGGAAGAGGTAATTAGTACCCGTTTTTTCTTTTCGCTCTTGACGGAGTTGTCCGGGGAGGCGACGGGAGACACGGTRTCATGCGCGGCGGCGTAATTGGCCTTGGAGGCCGTGGCATAGTTCGACGACATTCATTCGTTCAATAACCCGAAATTCCAATGCATTCAATTCGCGAACTTTTTTGGAAGAATGGCGAAAGAAGGCACCACAAAAATAGTCGCCAAACTAATAACTAATAATCTTGC